GAGCTTTCATTCTTGTGTTGTAAACTCAATCTCTTTTGAGTGTTGTTCTTAAGACTTGTGTGACTCAAGTCTTGTTGTTGTAAGAAAGTGAGGCTTGTGTGATTCAAGTTCTCAAGTTGTACCGGTTTTTCAAGCACCCGTTGAAGCTTGAAGATTAGTAGGACTTTCGAGAGAGTCTCTCGGAAGACTGGATTAGCCATGAGGTGGTGAACCAGTATAAATCTCGGTGTTCTTCTTTCCCTTACTCTCTTTATTTATTCCTGCGATTCTATTATTTCACACACGCGAAAAACGCACATTCTTGAAAACAACTCTATTCACCCCCCTTCTAGAGTTGCACATTTGTCTAACAGCCATGTGTAGGGCTTCTACCCAAAAATGAGGGGGAAGGTTAGCTTGGAAAAGAAGAGTGCAAACAGTGTTATTGATGGTGCGGATGGTGCGTTCAGCTCGGCCATGCTGTTGGCTCGTGTAGGGGCAGGAGAAACAGAAGAGAATTCCTTGAGATTCAAAAAATGTAGCAAGAGGGTTATTTCTATATTCAGTACCATTGTCACATTGTACAGATTTTATTGTTGTATTAAATTGATATTTAACAAGAGCATGAAATTTAATAATATGAGAGTAAGCATCAGATTTGTGGCGGAGGGAAAAAACCCATAAGTAGTGTGAAAAATCATCTAATAAAACATATAAAATTTAAAACCAGTTACACTAAGACCAGGAGATTGTCATAAATCAGTATGCATTAATTGAAACGGAAAAGTTGAAACACGGTTTGACGAAGAAAAAGGTAGGCGAACATGTTTCCCAAGTTGACATGCATGACATAAAAAATCTAATTTTGATTTAGGGATGCTAGCTAGGGAAGGGGACACGCCATGGAGACTAGCGGGGATGGGGTGTCCAAGCCGGCGATGCCAGGTGGAGAGATCGACTTGGGCCAGATGGAGATGAGCGGTGGACGGCGCTTGAGAGATAGGATAAAGAGGTCTGTCACTATTGGATCGATGAACCACGGCTCCCGTCAATTTGTCCTTTACAGAGAAACCACAAGAGTCAAATTCAACAGTGCAATTATTATCACGAGCAAATTGACGGACAGCTATGAGATTATGTATGATGTGTGGGGAGACTAAGACATTGTTCAGAGTTAGGGGAGGGGATGTGAGAAGGGTGCCCTTACCAAAACCGGTAGTGCTCACTTTAGAACCATTACCAACAATAATATGCGAGGGAGAATTAATGCTTGAAGTAACTACATGAGATAAAGTACCATGAACCAGTTGGGGTAGTTGGGGGTGAGGGTTAAGCTTTTAAGGCTATGGGCTAGGGCTGTGGGATTGGGTGGGGTAG